CAAGCATTTTCCCCTCTACCGAGGTTAAGCTAACTGGCCTATAGTTACTTGCTTTTTGTCTAGTTCCTTTTTTAAACGGTGCCGTCACATTGGCTGTTTTCCAATCAGCGGGAACCACCCCAGAGTCCACTGAATTTTGGTACGTAATCACTCGTGCATTTGCTATTTCCCCCATAACGTCTTTTAGTACCTCTTTTAGACAGACTGGAGTCTGTCTGGTAGATTTTACTCTGATTAAGAATGTCTGGCACTCCGTTTCAGCAAATGTCAGCTCCCAAAGCCAATTGCACTTTACCTACGCCACCATCCACCCACCCCTCACAAAGGCCTACATCACCAAAGGCCCCAATACCCTTTCCAGTCTTAAGTCCAAACTTCGGATACTGTAACGTGGGACCGACAGTTTTAGGCTAGTCTCTTATCTGAATTGTGAATCTCCCTCTTTGCATGGACTTTCGCTCTTTTCAAACAGCATTTCTAACGGGGTGGCGTGATAGACGATCTCGTAGTCAACGCCATGACTGGAATAACCTGTATGATGCTGAATTGCTCAATACATCTGACAGACAGGAAGGACAAGACTAAAGTTGCAGGAATATTTGCAGCAGCGTTGCAATGCATTGAAAGCATTGTTCTCTCGTTCAGGGGGAATCTGCGTAGGTTCAATGAAAGAAAGTGCGACAGCACTAAGAGGGAAATATTGTACAAAAACTCATACAAATTTGCACCCCGAAACAGGTAAATTAATCAGAGTTGTCTCTTTGTTGAAACAGCAGACAGTAAGAGTTCTTAAAAAAGAATTAAATGCTGTAGGTAAGACAATGCATTGCTTGACCGCGTGCACGCTCTTGATGGAGCATGGAAGTGGAGAAATGTTTCAACGGTGCTATCATCTCGATTTCCACGCTTTGGATGGAAAGTGGTGGGCGGCCGGCAGAGCTATTTCTGCTGCCATACTAGCTATTAGTCTGACAGGCCCACCTACACAACCACACGCCATGTACTCACTGCAGTGCCCGTCATTAGCCCTTCTGTGTTACAGATGCGAGCCGAACTTATTCACCACCGCAATGCTCTGGCACCATCAAATCAAAGCTGGTTCGCAATACGTCAGAACGCCAGAAGCAAGCTGTAAGAATGTCTGCAGTCATCTGATCTATTACCGAAAACACAAGATAAAATGAGTTTCGTCACTCCGCTCTGCGTTATCGTCTTAAACGTTTGGAATTATAATTTGTATCCTCTATGATTTAGGGAACAGTTCCAGACGAAAATTACTGGCGGAGAGTTCGTCCATATCCCTGTCTCAGTTGCATTTATAAAGCATTGGGAGAATTTCATCTGGGCTGGAAAATCAATTTATTCTGAGTCTCATTTGTCTTTCCTCGCTATCACCATTTGTGTAAAAATTAACAAGTTTGCGAATAATGCCACACCTTGTTGGTGTCGGCTCATCATCGTATTCAAGTGCGAAAGCTGTTACAAGCAGTTTGTTTTAATGTTGTTCCAGACATAGAGACCCTCGGAATTCATCATATAGAATATTTCAGTGATCGAAAATCACCCTTAAGAGGCTCGAGACTCTTCAATTGGCTTCAGAACGCCTTTACTCTGCTATTATCGCAATCGTCAGTTCCTCTTTCAGTTCAAACTTTGAATTGATCTCGTCGTAGCCTTAAGTTTCCTTAGCTATTAAGGCACAGAGTTAGATTTTACACAAAAGTGGCCCATTCATAGTTTTTGGACCTGGGTTAAATGAAGTTAATCTCCAATTATATCTTTTATGTTTAGACAACAGATATACATTAACCCACCTCCCGAACACAAACTAATTCGCGAAAAGATGTGTTGGTAAATAAATTCAAGTTGGTTATTTCGGGCTCTTTCTGAAAATATGCACATCTCCAATTTATGGCATTGATCTCTGGTACGTATGACTGATGAACAAACATCTTGGCTCAGTTATGCCATTCCTGTTTCTAAGCATAAAGATTCAACATCAGCTTCAAACAGAGACGGAGGCTCAACTACTGGATTAGCATTGTCCGTTTGCAGAATTAACCATGTCTGGAAACTACTAAAATTATATTGTCATTATATGCGTTATAAAAGATTGTTTTTCTGCAAGCGCTAAATTTGTTTTTACTGATCATTTATTGTATAAATATATTTTATTATCAGTTGCTGACAAATGTTCTTGCGGTCAGTGCGGATTTCAGTTCAAACGTTTGAACTACGGAGGAGTCCCAGGCAAATTTCTCCTGGACCTCGTCCAGCAAAAGCAGAAAACTTCACTCGAAGTTTCACCATCGATGGTTCTTGAAATCTAATGCATACGTTTCTGAAGATCCTCTTTCAAAAGCCTTTGATACTTGTAAACAAAATAATAAAACTGACTGGATGAGGATAAAATGCCCATATATTTATCTCTCTGT